GGCGCAATCATTTACGTGTATACAAAGCAGTGATTCTCTCTCTATAGGTACATAGTTTTTCTATCGTATGCATTATATAAGCAAATCATCACTTTATTATTCGTTCCTTATTTTCTTGTATTTATACACTGCAAAGGGTCTATTGTTGTTAAATTAGATCGCAAGTTCAATGTTGACCAAAACCAACAACTTTTCTTTGTTGTTATCAGAGCTGAACATAGCTATACTGTATGAAAAGTTTGATTTTGCAGAATTTGCTATTAGAGTGCCTTTTATATGATTTAATAAATGATAATGATGTAATTCTCACGGCAGGGAAATGTAAAGAAAAGTGCTTACAAGAGAGTCGACTATCAATGTTAAAGAAACCACGACGATTAATAGTCAGACACTTTTGTAAACAGCTAACTAAAACTGCTTCACATCTTAATTTGAGTGCAAAGAGTGTCCAAAACAATGTAAAACGTACAGCAGGATGGGGTGCTCGCTCAACTCCGTGCATTTTGCAACACATTTGCATAGTAAAATGAAGGAATTCGGGTCTCTCCGCCATAAGTTTTTTTGGCATCAGACCACATTATTGGGTGATCACAATGGGATTGAACAGGATTACTAAATCAAAAATTAACTTGCGTGAGATTCGGCTCAGATATAATCTTTTAAAAGCCCTCAGAAAGTGAAAAATTCCGGGCTCTGAAACAGATATCCAATGAATCCCCAGAACATTGTGGAGCATTCGGTCATGGTGAGCCACTCTATATCAAGATTACTTCGGTACCATTCATATGTAGAGACTCTTCCACTCCCTTCGTTCCTCCTCCCCTCGAAAATGTTCGATTTCGTAATGCCATCTGTCACTATTTCAGTTTCGACTTTTTTCAAATATCAAAAATTGCGCAAAAAAAATCTATTTTTTTTTTCAAGAAACGCAACTTGGATTTGCCCAGGTACACATCTAATTAATTCCCCCCGCCCCCACGAGTTTCTCGCTACGACAGCTTTCTATTTAGCTACGTAACGTTTAACCTAGATATTCATGAGATATAAGAAGGGATGAAACGTGAT